GGAGAGCAGTCCCTATAGTCACTGTTTCCTGCCTCCAGTGGCCATTTCAGGCTGGAATGCCTATCCTGAATGCCTGGATCTTTCTTGTGGTATGTGTATGTGATGTGTTTGTGTCTATGCGTGCTTGTGTGTGTGTTCAATGGTAGAATAATGAAATGCTGCCTGTTTCTTTTAACTGAGTTATATTGATATTGACAAGGCTTTTGTCAAGTTTTCCCTTCCAGTCCAAGTGACAGGAAGAACTGTAAAACTGTTTTTGAAACTGGCATTTGCTCTCCTGGCATGGATGAGAGGAGAAAAGAAACAAGGAATCTATAGTTGAGGGCCATGTTAACTGTGCTCTGAGCAGAATTTTGTAATCAGAGTGGAAGGAAGGACTGAAATGTAGGAATAATTTCTTAAACTGGTTTAAATCTCTGCCAGTTTACACACAGGAGACAACTAGCTGAAGGCTATGGTGCAGAAAAGCCCTTTATATGTTTACTAAAAAACAGGGGGAAAAAAAGCAGTGAAGCACATTATCTAAGCATGTACCCTGTAAATCACAGGTATGCTCCTTTCTGTTGTAAGGGACAAGCTAACCCAGTAACTAAACAGCTTTCATGTAGCCTAGGCAAAATGATCAGGAGAGAAGTTGATAATTAGTTCCCACTTCTTGTTGCCAAGATGATTACATTGATATGTTCATGAAATCACCCAGAGTTGAGCTCAACAAAGAAGACTGTGTATCAATTTTCTAGGTACAAATGACAATTAGCTTACCATACCCTTCACTTTAGCAGAGCAACAGCCAACATGCAAAAAGATTGGACCTTCCTTCCTTCCTTCCTTCCTTCCTTCCTTCCTTCCTTCCTTCCTTCCTTCCTTCCTTCCTTCCTTCCTTCCCTCCCTCCCTCCCTCCCTCCCTCCCTCCTTCCTTCCTTCCTTCCTTCCTTCCTTTTGTATGCGATAGGAGATGAAGTGATCTTTCTTTGCACAGGCTACCAGAAGTAATAATCACTGATTAGTTTGACTTTGCTTCTGAAAGGATAGAGAATGAAAGTATGAAAAGCTCCTAATTGCTGGATGATTATCTAGAATTCCTGCAATAGAAATGAAGGGAGGCAAAAAAATTCTAAGAATCTAAGGATCATTCTTCAAATATGCATTATGTTAAAGAGAATGATTAATTTATGCTACCTCAAGGTATGGAAATAGCTACTAGTTATGAAGACTTAGAAGAATAATGAACATTTAATAGAGGACAAAATTGTTCATGGTTGTAAATCATCACGGGACTTTCCGACACTGCCATAGTATTTATAGGAAACATTCTTGTGTCTCCACATTCTGTTTATGGATTTTCACTCTGACATTTGGTTGATAAGATTGGACAAGGTAAGCTCATTGCAGAAATCTCTGGGTTTTCATAGAGCCTGGCGCCCCTTTCCTCTCCACTATCTAATACCCAAACTTTTCAGCTATTTATGGGAAGAGGGGCTCACTTGTTTGTCCTCCTGGGAAGGGATGGGGGGGGGGGTCCTTAATTCAGCCCCTGTAGTTCACTGAATTGCTTTCTTAATGGCAACAGCACTGTGTCTCTTGCCTTTATCCAGGACAATAGTGAGCAAAGAAGCAAAACCACTTGGTGCATGAAGGCAGCACAACTGCAGTTGCACTGCTGAAACAAGTCAAATGTTCACTGAAGATTATGCTTCATCTAGCTATTAAACAAATCAATCTTTTCCTTGTACAAGGCACTGACGCTACCTACAACAGCAGCAACTAGCACTGCCCTCCTGTAAAAACAGCAATCTTTGTTGATGCGTGACAAAGTGGTTCGGTGTGGGGAGGCTACTGTTTGCCTCTGTCCCATTTTGAAGATGGGAGGAAGGCAAGTTGGTGAGGCTATGAAAGAACTTAGTGACAGAAGTGAGGGAAAAATAATAATCGCTTTCATATAAGGCATTTTTAACGTTGATGAGGCATTGCTGGCATTCAGATGGTAATGGAATTAAAATTATAGAATGTTGTGTCTGTTGAGGACTAATCAATTTATTATGGCATACACTTTTGTGGACTATAGAGCTCTGTAATGAATTTGTATTAATTTTTAAAATGCCACATGACTCTTGGCTACTTTTGCTGCAACAGATTAATGAAGTTAAGTCATTGCATATTAGACATGTAGTGTTGGCTTCACACAGAACATTTAGCAATGCTCATTGAACAAGCAAGGTATTTAGATCAGTGCTTACACCAGTGCTTCTCAACCTTGGCTAATTTAAGAAGTATGGATTTCAACTCCCAGAATACCCAAACCAATTGGCCATGAGGCTGGGGAATTCTAGGAATTGATGTTCACACATCATCATCATCATCATCATCAAGTTGGAAGGGACCTTGGAGGTCATCAAGTCCAACCTCTGCTCAGGCAGGAAACCCTACACCATTTCGGACAAATGGCTGTCCAGTCTCTTCTTAAAAACTTCCAGTTTTGGAGCATTCACCACTTCTGGAGGCAGGTTGTTCCATTGGTTAATTGTACTAACTGTCAGGAAGTTTCTTCTTAGTTCTAGGTTGCTTCTCTCCTTGATTAGTTTCCATTCGTTGCTTCTTGTCCTGCCCTCAGGCGCTTTGGAGAATAACTTGACTCCCTCTTCTTTGTGGAAGCCCCTGAGATTTTGGAATACTGCTATCATGTCCCCCCTCGTCCTTCTCTTTGTTAAACTAGACATACCCAATTCTAGCAACCGTTCCTCATGTGTTTTAGCCTCCAGTCCTCTAATCATCTTTGTTGCTCTTCTCTGTACTCTTTCTAGAGTCTCAGCATCTTTTTTACATCATGGTGACCAAAACTGGATGCAGTATTCCAAGTGTGGCATTACCAAGGCATTTAAAGTGGTATTAATACTTCACATGATTCTATCCCTCTGTTAATGCAGCCCAGCACTGAGTTGGCTTTTTTTGGCAGCTGCAGCACACTGCTGGCTCATATTTAACTGATTGTCCACTAGGACTCCAAGATCCCTCTCACAGTTACTACTATTGAGCAAGGTACCCCCTATACTATACCTGTACATTTGGGTTTTCTTGCCTAAATGTAGAACCTTTTTTCACCATTGAATTTCATTTTGTTAGATAGTGCCCAGTTTTCACGTCTGTATCTTAAACCTGTCTTCTGGAGTGTTGGCTATTCATGCCAGCTTGGTGTCATCCACAAATTTGATGAGTTCCCCAACTATCCCCTCGTCCAAATCGTTGATGAAGATGTTGAAGAGCACTGGGCCTAGAACATAAACAAATCTCAGCAACACTCCTCTGTAGTATTAATTATTTCAGAAGTGTGTAACTGACCTTTTCATTGTACTGGTAGTGCTTAGATGATTTACAACAATGTACAATTATAAAACAAATCATGAACGCTAGAAAATACAGTAGAATTATTAGTTTACTTCCATGCAGTTTCATTTCATTGCTTCTTGATCAGCACAGCAGTAGGATTACTCATGAATTGCTTCTTAATTGCACCTTAATTAGTGTAATTGGTGAAACAGTTTTATTTTGCAGTACAATGAAAAGAAAAAAAAATAGAAATAAATAATCCTTGTGGAACTGAGTGAGTGGGAATCATGAAGATATTATTAATCACTCTATAGAAATGCTGCTGTTCTGAACTGGAAGCAATAAGAATCAGAAACCCAAAGAAAAATGTTAATAAGCAAAAGCCAGACAATCATAAATACCTTCAGTTGTTCTTTGAAAGTCAACATTTGATAAGCCAGCACTGTCATTTTGTTGGCTTATTTTTTAAAATCTGATTTATTGAACAATAGCAGTAGATAAACACTAGTGTGCAGCTGTTAATGATATAATCTGTATTCTGTTTAAAGAATGTGTTCCAAACTAAGTATCTAAACTGGAAGCAGCTACAGAGGAACTGCTCTTACTTTTACTCCTGCGATAATTTGGCCAGGCCAATGGTGAAAGTCAAGGGGGAGGGAAGTAGGGTGACGTAAGCAACATCATAGTGTAAGTCATGCCACTGTTTCATTGAAAGCTGGGACTTTCAGCCTAATGTTTGAAAGACTCAGGTTGGAATTAGGAAAGTTTGTTAAAGAATTGCTGACACAGAAAATTGCAGCTGCAATGAGTGTAACAGTGGTGGAACATTACTGCCTAGCAAAGAAAGTTACAAGAAAGTTACAAGTTAGAAGGACACGTTAGAAGGATACTAGCTAATGCACATAGATTATATAAACTTTGGTAACCTCTTGCTTATTATAATAGTAAAAGACACATCCCTTTTTCATAAGAAAGCTTATTTACATAAATATGTGATGTATGAAGGAGGAGGGTAAAGTAGAAGCAACCAATCAAAAGAAACATGTGTCAAGGAACCAATGACTGATTCTTAGGGTGTTAACTTCCTTAATCATAGCTATATAAAATTTGTATTTGTCCATTGTTCGGGGTCTTGGCTCCTTTAGCTGCTGAGACCCTTTTCCTGGAGTACTCCAATAAAAGAAGCTAAAAATGCCATTTCTCGTGTCTGGTGGTCTTTATTGACTTTGGTGCCAGGCTAGAACCCATTTTGGGTTTAACATGTTGAGATGTTGCTTTTGACAAAAGCCTGTAAATGCCTCTGGCTGAGGCTTACCTTTGCTGGCAACTCTTTCAAAAATTGTAACATTCACTGAACTATTCTTTGTTAGCAGAATACAACCATTTGTGGTCTAGGAAGATGGTTGCTAGGATGCTAATACCAAAGGCTCGGTGCCTACAGAAGTACCTTTTAAAAACATTAGCAGCCTAACTGAATTACATACATGGTAAAATGTTTTCCATAATTGTTTAAAGGACTGTGACAAGCCTAAATTTGGCCTGAGGCTTGTAGAGGTGTCAGCGTTCTGCCTTTGAAGCAGAATTCTAGACTATGTGGATCTCTTGATTTGATCAGGAAAACATTTCTCATATTTTGAGCAGTCATGTTATGGTACCCTGGTCTACCATTATTTCAGATAACGATCCCTTCTGGGTTATACGTTATGGTGTGATCTACAATCTTGTTATCCTGCGTAGTGAACTCTCAGGAGATGTGAATCGAGAAGGATTAAGAAATGCTGTCTGGCGAACTTTACAAAAACAAAAGGGTGCTGAAAAGGATAGTCGAGTCCTGGATGCAGCAAAAGTAGCAGAGGTAAGCTTGAAATTTAATAGATGATTTAAATCATTGTTCAAATAATGTTATTACTTTTAACAGCTCTTTTAGGATTCAAGAAATATTACAGAAACAACCATAACCAACTTGTCATTATTATTAGATTTTCCATGTAATACTACTGTCTCCTACTTTCCATACCACAATCTTGTGAATTGGATTACGCTGACAGGAGTCTGGCTCAAAGTCACCCAGCTGGCTTTCATGTCTAAGGGAGGCTGAGAACTCACAGTCGTCTTGTTTCTAGATCAACCCCTTAACTACTACACCAAACTTAGCTGGCATTCCTTCATATCTCAGCAGCTTTTAAGGCTGCTTATTTACTTGTTTCACAGCTTTCGTAACTCACCCCAATCTGTACATTCTCAACAGAATGCAACAAAGCAAAAATGTTTGATTTCCTTTCCTAAACGTAGCTTTCACTTATTTCTATTAAATGTCTTTTTATTTTTTCAGCCAATGTCCCTAACTTCTTTTTGAATTTTGTATTTGTTTTATAGGGCACATGGCTAAGAGTGATTTCCTACTTTGCTTTTCACTGGAATAGGATGTAGCTACAAAAACAGCCCCTACTATAACAAGAAGGTGAAAGTGTGAGAATATAGGGAAATGTTATCACTGTATTCCTGTTTTCTAAAATTTCTGGATTAGCTGCTATGAAAATAACCAGTTCTCATCTTTTGATTGGGCTATGTTTCCTTCTGTGAGATAGGCACAGGGCTTTTTTTTGTCATAGAACGCTCAGAAGGGAGTTCTGGCACCTTTTTGGGATGGAACCTTGTAGGGTAGGCAAGGTGGATTGTATGATGTGTGTGAGTCATACAAAAAAAGCACTGGATAACATATCACTTTCCATAATTACATATCTCTCTCTCCTGACCCCCAGTATAAATCACATTCCTGTGTCCTATAGTTTCAGGAAAGCGACAATAGTTTTTAAACTGCTCATAAACATAAAAGCTTATAGTGCAAATGTAGCTTTGATTTAAATATTTTAGCAAGTGGCAGCACTTGAGCAGAGTTGGATTTAGTGAATTTGGACTGAAGACCACCAGGATATAACAGGTATAAACTAGAATGAGCATATTATACAGGCATTCTTGACTTATGACTGTAATAGAACCTGATCATTTTGGTTACGAGTTGTAGTAGTCATTAAACGAGGCACTATGTAGTTGCCCTGCTTGATTAGCACAATCCCTGCTCTCCCCATTACACTTGTGAAGTGGAACATGGAATACCTCAGGGATGGGAGAGACCTTGGATGGCCTGGCACAGATTCAGACCTGCAACCGCAGCACCTATTCAGCACACATGTGCCTTGTCCCGGATCTCCCAGGGCCTAGCTCTCCCCCTGAAGATATCCTGTGCTTTGCTTCCTGCTGGCTGGGTCCCCCACCTTGGACTTCCTCCGCTCCTGTCACACATTGGGCCACTTATCTTTTCCAAAGATTGCCTTTGGGAAAGAGAAGCAGCCAATCTTCTGTGTGGCCTTCCTCCTTCCCAGGAGCAGGCCTCCATTTCTGGGAGCAGCAGAGGCTATTTCATGCCATTCCAAATGGCAATTGTGACTGCTCTGAAAAGGTTGAAGAACGGAGTATTTGCAAATCATTTATTTCGCCCCAAAGCGGTGACCTTTTTCATAAAATACAGATAGATGTATGTATCCAAAGTCTGAATAGTAAAGCTGAGATGAGATATTAAAGGATAATCAAAATATTTTAATTATTATTTTTCCTACCTTTGGTTTTTCTTAGTGAAGAAATAAAGAGAAGGCAAGTAAACAAACAAAAGAGCATACAAACAGTGAAGTGTACATTTTAAAAATATCCAAAGCAGTACACAGCATTCATATGGAATGAATACTGGGCTATGAACAATGTAAGCATTGTCTAAAAATATTTCAGAGTATAAAAAGAATGGGGAAGTATGTTACATACAAAAGTATGCATATCTGGACTTTTTCCATGAGCTTTCTCAGTACTTTTTAGTCACTGGAATCAGCAATGGTTAAATTGTTTTGAACAATCAAGTCACCTGATAGGTGTATAGCCATATAATTGAACAAACAAACAAGTGTATGCCGTTTGAAATATTAAAAAATAGGCATGTGAAAAAAGACAAGCATAATTGACCTACTATATATTGCTTATTGTTTGCTATCTATAAAAGATTATATCTATATATCTATATACTCACTGGAGAAGGGCCTAATGCTGGGAAAGATTGAGGGCAATAGAAGAATGGGATGACAGAGAATGAGATGGCTGGATGGAGTCACTGAAGCAGTAGGTGTGAACTTAAATGGACTCCAGAAGATGGTAGAGGACAGGAAGACCTGGAGGAACATTGTCCATGGGGTTGCGATGGGTCGGACACGACTTCGCAATTAACAACAACAACAACAACAAATATATCTATATCTTAAAGCTAGGTCAGAGTAGTTGAGAAGAAACAGGCAGAAATAAAATATATGTTAGCATTTCACAAAATGTCATGTAAGGGTAACACAATACTTATGTAAAGGCTGTGGGAGTAGCATATCATTTCCAAACAGAGCAATATTTCTCTCTCACAAGGACAAAAAATGTTGTATATAATGTATCTGGGCATTAAATGTCAGGCAGCTTGAAAGAATGTGTTTCCTTTTGAAAGCAGACCTTATTTTTCATAGAATTAAATGACATTGGAGAAAAGCAATTTACAATTCCAACAGATAAGGAAGATAAATTTGTTATAATCAGCAAAATGTAATTATACATTAAACATTCTGCCTCTTCTTATTATTTTAGGAAATTAGATAAGAAAGTCTGATTTACTTTGACAGAAGGGAAACAGGATATTTAAATGTAGCTTTAGAGATCATAGAGATGTTTGCCTGCTGATCACTCTACCGTAGATATTCCTATATAAGCACCCTGTCTGTATATTTGAATAAATGCAAACTATGAACCAAAATTCTATTTATACAATGTAGGCTCATCCAGTGGTGGGATTCAAATATGTGAACAACTGGTTCTCTGTGTGGATGCTGCTTCCGGAAGTCCATTCCGGTTCTGCCAAACTGGTGCGAAGTGGCTGAATCCCACCATTGGGCTCATCTCTGAAAAAGAAGGGAATAGCTTATTTGGGTCAGTGGGGCAATTAACCTTCAGCCACTTAAGCTCTAGCAAGTTAAATTTAGCACAATAGATCCAGCCATGCATAGGGTTAAATTCATTTTATCCAGTCAGACATACTGTGAAACACTTAATCCAGCCAATTAGCCTTACATGGCTAGGCATCCAAGAATGGGAATGCTTGAAAAAACAATCTTCCATGGTAAAAGTCACTACTAAGGCGTGGCAGCAGAGAACACACTTTTCTATATGCCGGTAAGTTGCACTAACTGGATTTTTCTTTGTCCCTCAATGTGATTTGAAATTTCATTTATTGTTATTTTAGTTACAATGGTAAAACCAAATAGGTTTTTGTATTTGTAACTAGGAAAGCAAAAATAGAAAAAATAAAAAACTTTAAAACAATTAAAAATGATGTAAGATAAAGAAAAATATGTAAATGTCATTTTAGATCTTCATCACAACAAGTGAAAACAAATTTGAAAACTCTTTATCTCTATAAGGTTACAAATATCTTTTCTTCCCACAATATCTATATGCTCAGCCATAAATCATAAACTTTTCAAGCCTTATGTCAACAAAAGATCTATAAAAGATCTACCAGAGCTTCATAAAACATATTTTATTTAACCTTGATAAAATCAACCAACTTACATTCTTTCCTTTTATTTCTAACAATCTTCACTTTTCATTCATTCAGATGTTGTAGGATTTGGCCTTTCTTCAATTTTTCTTTTTTCCATTACAAAGGATTTTTGAGGCTTTAACTAGTTTCTTTTGTAAATCCAGTAAAAGTTATTGTTTAAGTCATTCTTCTCATCTATCATTTGCATTTCTACTTTGATTTTCAATACTTTAACCAATTTAAATCTGCATCAGATTTAACCTCTTTTGGACATAGTCTGTCCATAAAAGCAGATACCATTACTCACATTTCTGACATTATAGATGTTAATGCCTTGCCCTATTCCAGTGATTGCAAACCTTTTAGAGACTGAGTGCCCAAACTGCAACCCAAAACCCACTTATGCATCATCGAGTGCCAGGTGGGTGTGGCCCATTGGGTGGCCGTGGCCAATTGGGTGGGCATGGCTGCAGTGGGAATGGCAGACTGGGTGGGACTAAAAAGTTCAATCAATCAATTCCAACCTTGCAAGATCTTTTTTTTCCCCCACGAGAAGTTGAAATTGATTGATTGAACCTCTTTTTCTTTTTTGCACACGGCGGCAGAGGCCTAAAGCGAAAAGGTTTTATAAAACCCAGCTGAAGACCTAGGACTGGGGCAATGGTGCGCGTGCCCACAGAGAGGGCTCTGAGTGCTGCCTCTGGCACCTGTGCCATAGGTTTGCCACCACTGCCCTATTCTTTGAAAATTTCATTAAGTATTTTAAAAGTTCTAATATTTTGTGTCATTTTGTAAATCTTTATACTAACCATAAAACAAAGGCAAGGTCTGTTTGGAATTTTTCATCCGCTCTACTGTCCAATTTCTGAAATCATAACATTTCAAAATCCTATAGTAAACATCTAAGGGTTCCCAATTTGTCTGGACTCTTAATTCATGCATAACTCTCTTATCAAAATCATATTCAGCCTTTTGCTGTTTATTTCAAATTCTTTAAATTCTTATAATTAATGTTTCTTTTGTTTAAGAAGGAAGGTAGACTCACCAGGTGGCTTTTCAAATATGTCACTCCGAAGATCTCTAACAGCCTTAGAATAGTAAATAAGCAATTTCTGAAAGTGATTAGAAAGTAACTCAATGTCTTTTAAAAGGCTTCAGAGCTCTTATGAGTATGATGTTTAACCCTTTGTTTCCCAGTGCTTAAACCAACAAGAGACTGTGTCCTGTGGTCCTTT